TTGCCTTGTATGCCTGAGGCCCTGGGTTCGATTCCTCAGCACCACATAAGCAAAAAGAAAAAAGCCGGAAGTGGCGCTGTGGCTCAAGTGGTAGAGCGCTAGCCTTGAGCTGAAGAGCTGAGGGACAGCGCCCAGGCCTAGAGTTCAGGCCCCACGACTGGACCCAAAAAAAAAAATTTAAGTAATTGTACAAAGAGGTTCCAATTCAACAAGCAGTTCTGAGTACAGTGCATCTTGATCAATGTTACCCCTTTATCATTCTCCTCCTCTTTCCTAATCTTTACCTTTTTTTTCTTTCTTTTTTTGATGATGTTTGAACTCGTGACCTTGCATTTACTAGCCCTTTCTTTCTTCTTTACTTTCTTCCTACTTCTTTCTTTCTCTGGAAGAAATGAGGAGAGTAGTGGCATTTGAACTCAGAGTTTTGTACTTGCTAGGCACTACTTGCTAGGTTCTACTACTTGAGCCACAACACCAAACTTTTTTTTGCTTTGATTATTTTTCAGCCAAGGTCTTGAACTTTTGCCTGGGGCTAGTCTAGAATTGTGGTACCTGGTACCACAGGCACGTAGTAACCATGCTTGGAAACTATCCCTGAGCTTTTTCATTCAAGGCTAGTGCTCTACCACTTGGAGCATTAGCACCACTTCCGGTTTTCTGGGGGTTCATTGGAGATAAGTCTCATCAGCTTTCCTGCCCAGACTGGCTTTGAACTGTGGTTCTCACATCTCAGCCTCCTGAGTAGCTGGGATTATAGGTGTGAGTCACTGGCACGCAGCTCTAGCTTGTTTATTGAGAAGGAATTTTGCTAACTTTTTGCCCAGGCTGGCCTTGAACCAAAATCTTTCTAGTTTCTGCTTCCAAAGAAGTTGGGTTATAGGTGTCAGCCACTAGGCTAGCTTCCTTTTATTTCTTTGTTCTACCTATTCTACCCTATTTTGTAAATGTCCAACCAATATTTTAAAATAATTATTAAGCCATAAACCAGGGAATTTCTCTCAGGGTTCTTTCACAACTATTTAGGGCTAGAGAAATGTAGATGCTTGATGATATACATATATATATATATAGTCACTGAGGAATCAGTGGGGAAAAACAACAACTTGTTTTCAAATAAAAGTATGCTGTTTGAAATGTTAAGAAAATCAAGGGGACTGGGAATGTGGCTTAGTGGTAGAATGCTTGCCCAGCACACATGAAGCCTTGGGTTCTATTCCTCAGTACCACATAAACAGAAAAAGCTGGAAGTAGCACTGTAGCTCAAGTGGTAGAGTGCAAGCCTTGAGCAAAAGAAGCTCAAGGACAGTGCCCAGGTCCTGAGTTCAAGCCCCTGTACTGGCCAAAAAAAATCAAAAGATATCTATTTGTATACTATTCCTGCGGACATAAAATACTTCTACTTTGAGCAGTATGTAGGAGTTTTGGAGGGATTGTGAATGTAACATGTGAGCTTATGAGGTTTCTTTCCATGTGTTCACTTTGTTCCATTTATAGATTTTTTTGTTGTTGTTGTTGGTCATGGGGCTTGAACTCTGGGCTTGGGCACTATCCCTGTACTCTTCAGCTCAAGGCAAGCGCTCTACCGCTTGAGCCACAGCACCACTTATGGTTTTCTAGTGGTTTATTTGAGATAAGAGTCTCATGGACTTTCCTGCCCAGGCTGGCTTTGAACCACGATCCTCAGACCTCAGCCTCCTGAGTAGCTAGGATTACAGATGTGAGCCATCGGCGCCCGGCTCCATTTATAGATTTTATTCAGTGCATTTTTCCTGGTGGGTACTATTGTATGCTGCACATTCTTTTTTTTACACATTTAACTCATTGTTGCCGTTTTATATTTTACCATACAGAACTCTTCATGGTCTAATACGTTTACTCATATTTATTAAGATAAATATGAGTAGCTGTGATGATCAAGTTGCTTTCATTTTTTAAATCATATTTCTTGCATAAATTAATTATGGGTCATGTGACCTTATATTTACAGGGCAATTTCTGTTTGACACTATGAATTTGGCCCATATTTTGAATATCCAAGAAACTGCACAAGCTCTGGCAGACGGATTGGTGGAGCTGTCAAAGGAGGATTCTGTAAGTGTTTCATTGCTAGAGAAGCTCTAGCATGTTAGTCAGTTCTTAGTTTGTATTTTATCTTATTGTAGTACTTTACTTCTTTAGAGGCACAAACACGTAGAGAAATTACATCACTTCGTAAGAGAGACTCTGTGCTCAAGATTGTATTAAGTACATAAAACAGACAAGCAGAAAAATCTTCTGTGTTAAAGTTTCTAACATTGTAGGATTTTTTGCCTTGTGTTTAATTTCAGTCAGCATTGACTGCTCCACAAACACGTCCGTGGCCTTATAATTTACACAAGCATTATTCAAGGAGAACAATTATTAGTATAAGGAAGGAAAAAGTAAAAAAATGTGTGAACCAAAATGATGAAGGAAAAGTTAACTAGACAAGAGAGAAAGAACAAAGAACAGAAAAAAGCCAGCCATTTGTTACGGTCAGGTGGGCTGAGGTGTAAAGAAACAGTTATTCGCCACAAATTGTGGGTGTTCTCCAGGAAAAGTCAGTCACATTTCAGGTCCCAGACCTCTCCTAGCCCTAGGGCAACAGTCAGGCTACAGACAATAAAGCCTGTGGCTCCGTCTTTGGGGGAACTTGGGGAGAGTCAGAAACGAGACAGGAACTGGAACAGGGATGATGTTGCTCTCTCAATGCTGGACCAAGCCTTAAGTTTTTCAAAGAAAGAGTCTCAAGTTCTTGTCTTCCACTATGGTGAAGCCTCCTTGGTGAGAGAATTTAACATTCTCCGCCCACATTGCCTAGTTGCAGTCAACTGTGATTTGTCTCAGGACTTAGTGTCCAATGCATAGGAAACCCGATCAGCAAGAAAAACCCTGCTGAGCTTCACTGGTAAAATGAGCAGGGATGGTCAGAGATGACGTTGAGGCCTGGAGAGATCCTGCACTCTCTCCCAAATCCCGAAGAATGGCTACCCTTGCTTGGTATAGGAAGGACACTGAGTGATATAATCGAACCCAGGGCTTCATGCATGCTAGGCAAGCACTCTACCACTAAGTCACATTCCCAGCCCTGATGTAAGTTCGATGTGCTTAAACCTGTATTCTGAGGGAGGAGCAAAGCAGGGAAGCTCACGGTGGGCTTGCTGGCTGTTCTGCTGCTGACTCTTTGATTCCAGGCCTGCTTCCTGCTACCCGGTCCTTTGGGTCTACGTTCCTCCTGTGTGTCTGGGGTCATGTTCTTGAGACTCTTCCACAAGACTACAAAAAGGAAAAAGAAACAGAACCAAGCTAAAGTATGGTGACCAGACTAAGGGATTAACTAGGAAGTCCCATTGCTGACTCTAGCGTGGTTCCATGTGAATGAATTAGGCAGTTTAATTAGAACTAAGCTGAAAACTGTTCTCTTTATACTGTGCTTTTTGAAGACCTGCATTCCAAATGTCTTTTTAAAAGAGGATTACTTTTTTGGGGGGTTGGGGTATAACTTTTCAGGACAAACCTTTGGAATTTTTATCACATTTTCTGCTGAAGAAATGTAGTAAGAAGAGCAGCAACTCTGAAGGAAATGTTACTCTGATGGAATGTGACCCTGAAGAGACCTTCGGCTCATTGGTGAAGGTAAAGGGCGTCTGCCTTTAGACGCTGCTTCCCTGGGACTACCTCGTGTGGCAAAGTTGTTGCGTGATTCTACTCTTGGGAACCTTGACACTGGTCATGTCTCCTCTGTCTTCATTTCTACCGACTGTTCTTTGAAAAGGTGTTTTATGGTAGACATCATAATGTGAGATTTTAGCGGCTTCAAAGCACAAGCCTACTGTATCCACTTGGGTAACTGTTCTGTGATGGGGGGTTGGAGTTGGATTTGGGTTTTTGCTTTGCCAATTATTCACCTGAGTCCTGGGAAACTTGAGGGGGGAAAACCCCAACTTTATTCACTTGCGGTTCAGGAGATTCGTCCCTCCCACCCTGCTCATTTTTTTGGTTGGTCGTGGGGGTTGAACTCAGGGCCTGAGCACTGTCCCTGAGTTCTTTTGCTCAAGGCGAGCACTCTACCACTTTGAGCCACAGCTTCACTTCCAGTTTTTGAGTGGTTAATTAGAGATAAGAGTCACACAGGGACTTTTCTGCCTGGGCTGGCTTTGAACCTCGATCTTCAGATTCAGCCTTCTCAGTATCTAGGATTACAGGTGTGAGCCACCGGCTCCCAGCGATCCTCACCCTAGTTGCCCATAACACTAAGGATGGTCCATTCTTTCTTAGTTGAGATTCAAATTTATAAACAAAAGTACGCAGGCTTGAAGCTAGTTCTTCAGACAAGAAGGCAAATGAAGAGTCAGCTGTTGGCTAGAGTCAGAATGCCTACATTCAAAAAGCAAAGAGTGTGCTGTCATTTCCTCTGGTTGCTGTCTAGACGAACATCTCACACTAGAATCATTTCATGCTCAGAGAAAAGATACCCACCTCTCACGTCTGAAGGCTTAGCACAGCCCTCATTGCTACCCCTGTTCCCCAACTCAGAGTTAGGATAGACTTGTGAGTCTCCCAGTAGCAAATCATTGCTCTCTGAAGCCTGATTTTCTGGGAGTTCTTGTTAGTGCTTCACTGGAGGACAGCATGGAGCAGGCCAAGGGTGGACCGGGAGGACCGCTGGGCCACCCCCTCTGTCAAGCTAACCTGCATTGTTCCATCTTTCACCAACCCCCCTCCTGCCCTCTGCTCAACCCCCCTCCCCGCCCTCTGCTTTGCACACTCTCTCATTGTTTTGAAACAGTATATTGATGTTTAGCCCAGGAGGACATTAGAGTCACATCCTTCCTTTCTTGACTTTCTGAGTGTTGGGATTACAAGTGTGCACTAGCACACACAGCCTTTTCTACACGCCTCATCCCCGCAATCACCATTTACCTGTTTATCTATCTCCATCACCATGTACCTTAGTCATCACCAGTAACAGTCCCTCTTTTCTTGCTGTCAGCAGTAATCACTCCAGGTTTGCTTGTGTGTATGTGTGTATGTGTGTGTGTGGGGGGGGGGGTAATGTGTTGTGTTTACACCAATTGTCTGAAACCATGGTGATGGGTCACAGCCATGGTTCCAGTCATTCCTGAGGTTACGTGACGCTTGCACAGTTATTTCTCGCCCCTGGTCCAGGCAACAGAATATCTTCTGGGAAAACAGCCAAGTGTGGAATGATTGTCGCTTCATCCTAGGGAAAATCTGCTATGTGACCAAAGCCCAGGCCTGTGAGCTGCTCAGGCAAAGGCCCACCCTCCCATACCACCATTTTCTTATAGATCTGCAGAATGTGTTGCCCTGTTATTGCCTCTGAGTTCATCTCTTAAAAACAAACTCAGGGATACCATCATGATTTTAAAATGGGCTCTGAAAATCTTCACCATTGCAACTATGCATAATATAAAGGAGACAATTTACTGTCTCTAGTATCAAATAAAGTTATAACGGCAAATCAACTTCCTGTTCCCAAAGAACCATTTCCATTTAGAAACCGAGCTGCTGTGAAGTCAAGGTGGCCAAAGCCCCAGTAAGCAGGTGTGTGTTTGGGAGGTGGGGGAGGTGCGTGGGGGATGAGGAGGACGCCAAGACCTGAATGTGGATGTCTAAGCACGGAAGGGGCTTGTATGGGGTTTCAGAGATACCGGGCATCCTGCCCACTCCCCCACACCTCCCATCCGCTCACCCCCGGCCCAAGTTTACCTCTGAGTAATTGAGTTCTATCTGACTTTCAGGAAAAAACCATCACAGAAGACAGTTCTGAGGATCCCGGATCAAGTCTCAGCAAAAGCAGTCTAAATGTCAAAGTGCTGGCTAAACTGGTGAGCCATTCATTACATAATGTGAAATCTGTTTGTTTTACTAATGATCATGAAGCTTTGCTTTCATCCTGGTTAGTCCTTTGTTTTCGCTGAGAATTTTTCATAACTGACTCATTGCAGCGAAGATTACATAGATTAAGTTTTGTGTTTTTATAGTTGCTTTCACTTTAAACAAGTTTATTTAAGCCTCTGCTTCATGGTGCTGGGATTCTAGGCATGTGCCAGTACATCCTGGCTAGGACTTTAGTTTGTGGAGTGATTTTTTTTCTTCCTGATTTATGGACCGATTGCCCTACATAGGAGAGCTATGCAGAAGAAAGAAATGATGTAGAAGAAAGAAAAATAAGGTTGTCTTTACTTTTACAATGAGAACACAGATACACAGACACAGACACAGACACAGACACAGACACAGACACACACACACACACACACACACACACACACAAACCCTCATTGTTCAGTAGACATTTCCCAGTGAGGATCTCAGTGTGTTTTGTTCAAACCGTGAGAGCACAGCGGTTTCTGGCATATGAAGCAGAGAGCTCCAGCTTTTCTGGAGGAGCTCATTCCCCTCCCCCCACCATGAGCTCCCCCTTTCACCATCCCATCTCCGTTTGTCGTTGATCATACCTTCACCAGTGGTCATTTAGGAGACAGAAAAGATCTTGTGCAAATCCACCAATAACTTTCCATACCTGTTTATTTTATCTGTTTCCGACGGTGAGAAGAATGCAAAAGTACAGAGAGAACTGCTGTGGTCACTGGGGGAGTGTGTCCTGGCTGTGTCAGTAGGGGCTCAGGGGACATCTCCCTGTAGCTTCAGCCCCATCTACCCAGGACAAGACTTGTGCTCCACGAGGTGTCCCTGAGTTCCATCCCCCTCATCGCCTCCACCAGGACCATCCTTGTCAGTCATGATCTGGGTGGACATTTGTTGGCCCTGCAGAGGGCTAGGTCTTGGTGCTGGGTCTTGGTGCTTTCCTGTGAGCTGGTTCTCCATGCTTCTCTGCAGGAGAGGAAGCTTCAGAGGGCTTCGGTGGACATGCGAGCTAGAGTTGTCCTGGAACTCTTGCAGAGTGAGAGGCGGTACGTGCAAACGCTGGAAATCGTGAGAGATGTTTACGTGAGGCCACTGAGAGCATCGCTGGGCTCCAACAGAGCCATCCTGAGTGCTGCGAATGTCCAGATCATTTTCGCCGACATCCTGCAGATTTTAAGTCTCCACAGGTAAAACCTGAGTCTGAATCTGTATTTATTTATTTAGCTAGTCCTGGGGCTTGAACTCAGGCCCTGGCCGCTGTCCCTGAGCCTCTCTGTGCTCAAGGCTAGTGCTCTACCACTTGAGCCACAGTGTCACTTCTGGTGTTTTCTGTTTATGTGGTACTGAGGAATTGAACCCAGGGCTTTACACATGATAGACAAGCATTCTACCACTAAGCCATATTCCCAGATACACACACACACACACACACACACACACACACACACACACACGTATGTATGTATGTATATTCTACAGGTAGTGGGAAGAACCCACACTTCACCTCCAAAGTGGAGGGAGTCTCAGACAATGGCTTATTCTTTTGGGGACCCATGTTGCAGAGCGGCTCCTCAGCAAGCCACTTAGCTGCAGTAATTCCCGGGGTCACCTCCTCTCCAGACTGCAGCCACGTGCCCGGAGTTGGAGTTCAGTGTCTGGGTCTTCTATAGTCTGTGGGCCATTCATGCAAAGGAAAAAGGAGAGCTGTCTGAAGTTTTAAATTTTAAGTAGTTTTTTTTTTTTTTTGGGGGGGGGTCCAGTCGTGGGGCCTGAACTCTGGGCCTGGGCGCTGTCCCTCAGCTCTTCAGCTCAAGGCTAGCGCTCTACCACTTGAGCCACAGCGCCACTTCCGGCTTTTTTCTTATGTGGTGCTGAGGAATCGAACCCAGGGCCTCAGGCATGCAAGGCAAGCGCTCTACCACTGAGCCACCTTCCCAGCCCCTAATTTTAAGTAGTTTTAAGAAGGAATTTTAATTCCACTGTTTTTTTTTAAGCTGTCTTTAAGTAGTTGTGCAAAGGGCTCTCAATTTAGCATGTCAGTTTCTAAGTACAGGGCATCTGGATCTACATCCCTCCTTCCATCATTCCTTCTCCCCGTCCCGTCATCAAGTGACCTGATTCTGTAGAGCTGGGCTTTGAAGTCAGGGTCTCACAAGTGGTTGGAAGGCACTGTGCTACTTAAGCCATACTCTCAACCCTTTTTGTTTTAGTTATTTTTCAGACAGTGTGTGCATGTGTGTGTGTTTCTCCAGAGTACCTCAGATTATGATCTTCTCACGGCTGCACCCCATGAAAGTGGGATTATAGGCATACACCAATGTACCTGGTCTCGGAATTGTTTTTTAACCAGCAATGCTTTAGCGAGTAATGGGAAGGGACGGAAGGATCCAATGGGATCAACTAGCCTTTCTCTGCTTAGAGCCCACGGCTGGCTTCAGTTGAAGAACAGCATGTGGTTGTGTGTGTGACATGAGCTCAACATGGTTGTTTCTACCCATAGTAAAGGGAGGTAAACTGAGCATGTGTGTCTCTGATAAGGACTCACTAGCCATTTTAGGGCTGGTTCTTCACGCAGGAAAGAGGTTGACAAAGCCTATTGCAGGTTTTCAAGGCCTTTGATGGCTGGAAGGGTCCCTTGGTCCACGGGGACACGGGCCAAGTTCAGATGACATTGAGTGTGGCAGTTGTTGTAGCTGTCCTTCTCCTCTGAGAAGGATTAGATAGGTCTGTCCCGTCTGCCTGTCTGTGGGAGGGCCTGGCGGGCTGGCTGTAGCCTGGGTCCTACATGAGGAGTGAGGGGAAGGTGGGCTTCTCCGTCTCCTCCTCACGGCCCAGCAATCTTGTCCTATCAGATCTGCACTGCTCTGTGTTAAGAAAACAAGAAGCTGATTAAAATCAAGTCCTCTCATAAAGGATTAGGGGGAAAAAGCCTCCATTCATGACAGCAGCTTAGCTTGCGTACGTGTGTGGGCCATCACAGGCTCTTAGGTCAGACTGCTCTCCTTGTGTTGCAGGCAGTTTCTAGATAACCTGAGAGACAGACTCCAGGACTGGGGCCCAGCTCACTGTGTGGGGGACATCTTCACCAGGCTTGGGAGCCAGTGGACCCCATACACCAATTTCTTCAACAACTACTCTGTTGTCCTCCAGACCATTGAGAAGGTAGGTGGTGGGGTGAGCCCTGTCATTTTATTAGCTCTCCTGAGCTTGTGCTGAGTGCAAGTCCACCAGACAGCCAGAGGTAACCAGCAGGGCGGCTTTTCTGCTCTTTGCTTCCAGGTCTCTTCTTGTATCTGGGGAACTCTGAGGGGAAAGGGACCCTCACCCAGGGGTCAGTTCAGTGCATCACAAAGCAATGCCCAGAACACCTACTTGGTTGTTGATTTTAATCCTCAAACACACTGTTGACACGCTCATCTCTATGGACAACTTGATTTTGCACAAGTTGCACGAATAAGGTGATTTCATAGAACTGAACTGACCTTGAGGACGAGGACTGATTAATCAGAAACAAATGGGTGGCAACATGTTTATATCTATGATTTAAAATGATGCTTAGTTCAATAGCATAGTGTGCATCCGTAAGCATTTGGCACATTCGCTATTAATATGATTGCAGTGCGTGACTATTTGTGGAAATTAGTGTTCCTGACATCTTTTAGACATGCACTAACAGAAGTAGAAAGAGGAGATTCATAGGCAGCCTAGTGGTAATGAATGAATACATTTATAACATATAGTAAGAACAGTGGAGCTGTCTCAGGCTCACCACAGATAACATGAATAATAGCAGTATTAAAGGTGAATATTGGCTGGGCACTGGTAGCTCACGCCTATCATCTTAGCTACTCAGGAGGCTGAGATCTGAGGATCATGGTTCAGAGCCAGCCCGGTCAGGAAAGTCTGTGAGATTCTTATCTCCAATTAACCACCAGAAAACCTGAAGTGACACCATGGCTCAAGTGGTAGAGCACTAACCTTGAGCTGAAGAGCTGAGGGACAGCGCCCAGGCCCAGAGTTCAAGCCCCAACTGACCAAAAAATAAAAGGTGAATATTGACAGTCAAGTGAAATGACCCTTACTGACATGCGCGCCTTATTGATAAAGTTTCCTTCCTCACCATGAGTTAAGCAAGATACAGGTCTTAGAGAGGAGAAAGCTGAGACTCAAAGAAGTTAAGCTTGACAATGTCAGATAGTCAATTTATTCTAGTTCTAATCCAGAATGACCTGATGGTATTGGTCTCTAAAGGTTAAATTCAGTGGCTAGGGTTAGGCCTATGGTATAACTAATAATATACTAGGAAACACCAAGAATGCAGTTAGTATTTTGGTTAGATGGTGATGTTAACCCCTTATTTTGGTGATTCTGTATCTTGCCACTTGGTGAAAATGAAGACTGAACACAACAGGGTTTTTGTTGTTGCTGGTACTGGGGTTTTGAACTTAAGATATTCAGCTTGCTTACTGCAGGTGCTCTACCATTTGAGCCACACTGCCAATCTACCTTTTTGCTGGTTAATTGGAGATGGAGGCTCTAGGCACTTTCACCTCAGGCTGACCTCAGACCACAGTCCTCTGAACTCCACCTCCTAAGCAGCTCGGATTCCAGGCCACGGGCACCCAGCTAGAGCAAAGTTTTGACAATGTAATTCTCATCTTCAAGTGCAGAGACATGCTCCCAGCCTTCCGAGCGTTCCTGAAGAGACGAGAGAAGAGCATCGTTACCAAAATGCTGAGGTGAGCTCCCGAGGGGGCAAGCACATTGGCCCCCAGGGACAGCTACTTCCGACCTTCAGATAGAGATGGGCCCCCTCTCTCTGCCCCTGCCAGCCTGCCAGAGCTGCTTCTGTGCCCATCCCGGAGATTGGAGGAATATACTAGTCTTCTCTACGCTCTTCGGCTCCATACGCCAGCTGGACACGTTGACCGGGAGGACCTGACCACTGCAATTAACCAAATCAAAAACTATCAAGGTTTCATAGATCAGGTGGGCTGTCCGCAGCGCCCGTGCCCTTCAGAAATGTTCTGATGCTTTTGTGCCAGCCCGAGGTGCTCGCTCTCCTCTTGCTCTTCACTTCCATCTTTCATCCTCTGCACGCCACAGCAATCGTGGGGGTAATGTTTGAACACTAATGGCATCTCTTCTAAGCTGGACAGTGTTTTCTGCTTGATGTCCGATTGCAAGAAGGCCCTTATTCATGCAAACATGTTCAGGATTGGATGGATTTTTGCAGCTAACTAAATGACAGAAACAAAAAGTAAAATCCTTTGATTCTGAAAGCACTTTCAAATGCAACCATAGCTTTCCTGCCTTTCCAAGCACAGCAGTCACAGTCCCTAGCGTTCTTGCTCTCATTCTGAACTGCCACCATGGCGTCGTGCATGCCATACAGGATCTGGGTAGAAGAGAAACTGTTCATGCCTGCAAGGTGCCTTTTTGTCTTTTTTTTTTTTTTTTAAAGCAACCCGTGGGGTACAGATAATTGGGAGTTTTCTATAGAAGTATCAAGTCTCATACCAACTCCCATAAAATACCTTCACCTATTCTGTGAATTAAAAAATGCCATAATTTTAATTTGCTTTTGTTTCCTAGATGAAAGAAAACATTAAAAGAAAAGAACAGCTGTCAGATATACAGAAAATTGTCTGGGGATGCCCGGTGTGTATTCTGATGATCTGTGCGTCGCGTTGTGTCACCTCAGGTTACTGACAAAAGAGACACATTGCCCTTGCCTGCAAGGGGTGCCCTTGAAGGCAGGTGTGGCGTTGACGTGTCCACTGCTTCTCTGTAGTCTGGGCTCCTTGCTTGGAGGTCCTGTGATGCTGATCTGACCCCTCTGGGGCAAGCAGCTCCGAGTCCTACTTGGTTCCTATCTCCCTGCACATGTTCCTGGTGCAAGATTCAACACACAGAAAGGCCCTAAAACCTACCAGATGTTGCCTCTAGAATACCATCTGGCCCCCTGTTCTCTGCCCGACAGCTTCTCCGACCATCCAAAGATCTTGCCATACAGACCTGCTCTCCATGCGCTAATAACATAGACTCATGTGTTTGTTTGTTTGTGTTTGTCAGTCCTGGGGCTTGAACTCTGGGCCTGGGCACTGTCCCTGTGCTCTTCAAGCACTCTACTACTTGAGCCACAGTGCCACTTTCAGTTTTCTGGGGGTTAATTGGAGATTAGAGTCTCACAGATTTTCCTTGCTTGAGCTGGCTTTGAATCACAATCCTCAGATCTGTCTCCTGAGTAGCTAGGATTACACGCGTGAGCCACTGGAGCCCAGTTTTCATGTCATGTTTTATATGATTTTTGGTGCAGGGAGTGGGACTTGAACTCAGGGCCTGGGCACGCTCCTTAACTTTTTCACTCAATGTTGGTGCTCTTTCACTTGAGCCTCAGCTCTACTTCCAACTTTCTACTGATTAATTGGAGGTAAGAGTTTGTGGACTTTTCTGCTTAGTCTGGCTTAGAACCATGGTCCTCAGATCTCAACCTAGGATTACAGGTGTGAGCAACTGGTACCTAACTCTATATGCTTTTGCAATACATTTCCTTCCCTGAAATTGTCTTCCTTTCCTACTTAGCTGGAAAAATACTACTCATCCTTGAAAAACTGGATATAGTGGCTCACATCTGTAATCCTGGCTACTTAAGAATTGAATGTAGGGCTAGGAAGGTGGCTCAGTGGTAGAGTGCTTGCCTTGCATGCATGAGGCCCTCGGTTCAATTCCTCAGCACCACATGAGCAGAAAAAGCCAAAAGTGGTGCTAAGGCTCAAATGGTAGAGCGCTAGCTTTGAGCTGAAGAGCTGAGGGACAGTGGCCCCGGCCCAGAGTTCAGGCCTCATGACCAACAACAACAAAAAAGAATTGAATGTAGGAGGATTGAAAGTTCGAAGCCAGCCTGGACTAAAGTAGGTGAGATAAAAAAACAAACAAACAAACAAACTCACACTGGATATGGTGGTACATATCTGTGATCCCAGCTCTAAGAGGCAGAGTTAGGAGGATCATGGTTTGAGTTTGTGGTCCACATTTGCAGAAGAGTACCTGAATGCACAAGATCCTGGTTTAGTCAGTGCCTGCAAGCATGGGGTTGAGATGCCCAGTATCTCTAGCTGTGAGCTGTCCCTTCCTTGGTGTTTGAACATTTACTATGTGACATGGGACCCAAGATTGGGAGCTCTATCATGTGTGAACTATGACCTACCTGTCTTCTAATACCTGGCATTCAATAGGAGCTCAATATGTGAATGGTGTTGAACTAAAATAGCCATTTATTAAACATAATTATTTTTATTTGTCAACTGAGGAAGCAAGATGGAGTTTCTCTACAGTCTGGTGGGGAAAGAGCAGTTAGAGTTCTGACTCTTGGAATTTTGCACAGCTTCATTTCTACATGAAGAAATCATCTCCATGTAAAATCAGTACAAGGGCCTGACCCTTAACTCGCACTAAGAAGTCACTTGCTTCTTTCTCTGGATCGTTCCCTTTTGATCCCTGTTCACTTAGGTTCTCAACGGTAGGAGAGCACTCACAAACAGAATATTAATTGCAGAAGCTGAAAATTTAGAACATCCTCAAAAAAGCCCTTCATGGTCAATGCTATGGTCTATCTAAAGAAAGTGATTTTTGGGGGGTGGGGGCCAGTTGTGGGGCTTAAACTCTGGGCCTGAGCGCTGTCCCTGGACTCTTCAGCTCAAGGCGAGCACTCTACCACTGGAGCCGAAGCTCCACTTCTGGAGAAAAGAGTCTCACAGACTCTCCAGCCTTGGCTGGCTTTGAACTGTGAAACTCAAATCTCAGCTTCCTGAGTAGCTAGGATTACAGGCATGAGTCACTGGCACCCGACTATTTTCACTATTTATAAAACACACTTTCAAGCCAGGTGCTGGTGGCTCATGCCTGTAATCTAACTACTCAGGAGGCTGAGATCTAAGGCTCACCGTTCAAAGCCAGCTGGGGCAGGAAAGTCTGTGCGCTTCTTATCTCCAGTTAACCTCCAGAAAACCGCCGGTGGCACTGTGGCTCAAGTGGTAGAGCGCTTGCCTTGAGCTGAAGAGCTCAGGGACAGCGCCCAGGCCCAGAGTTCAAGCCCCACGACTGACCAAAAAAAAAAAAAAAAGTTAAAATATCTTTGAAATAACCAAAGTGCTAGTCAATATTTGCATACTCTAGTGTATAAACTGTCTCAGCAGTAGCATTTATTAAACTTCTATTACCTAATTTCATTTTTTTCTTTAATTTTATAGGTTTTGTCAGAAGTAAACAGATATCTGATTAGAGTCCAAGACGTAGCCCAGATCCACTGCTGTGATGAGGGAGTCAGTTTCTCTTTAAGGTAAGCAGCAGCCAACTGTCCTGAGGCTGGAGATTCCTGAAAAAGTGTCTGTCTTACTCTTGTGTCCCTGGCTTTCAGTACTGCGCCAGACACATTATAGACCACAGACTCTATAAAAGGAGAACTTCCTGAGCTTGCTCACTTTCCTACTGAGGTAAGATCTTAGTGATATGGAATCTCATACCAATGAGATCAATCCTAAGAAAGAAAGAGACTAGTTTATGAACTTCTGATGTTTGTTGGGGGTCAGTAAAGACCTCAATGTATCCAGCTGGCATGATGCTCAGAGAAGGTAAAAGATGGATGTCAATAATAAGGATGGACACATTTTTCTGTAAAGATTCAGTTACTGGGGATAGGAAGGTGGCTCAGTGGTAGAGCGCTTGCCTTGCATGCCTGAGGCCCTGGGTTCGATTCCTCAGCACCACATAAGCAAAAAGAAAAAAGCCGGAAGTGGTGCTGTGGCTCAAGTGGTAGAGCACTAGCCTTGAGCTGAAGAGCTGAGGGACAGCGCCCAGGCCCAGAGTTCAGGCCCCATGACTGGACCCAAAAAAAAAGGAAAAAAAGATTCAGTTACTATTTAGGATTTGCTGGTCATATTTTCTTTAGTAAACAATACTTGTCATACAACAAACATAAATAAACTATGACTGTGTTCCAATAAAACTTTAATTTAGTGGTCCCTAGTCTGCTAGTCACTGCTTTAGAAAATTGCCAAAATGTTTTCAATATTAAGGGGAAGGTAAAGATTCAACGCATAGCAACCAAATGGAAGGATGCACTAGATTTTCTTCTTCTTGGATTACTTTGCTTCCCTCTATGCTTTTCCTGCTGGAATGGTTCTGCAGAGAACCCACTATATATAATTTTTTTTTTTTTTTGCCAGTCCTGGGGCTTGAACTCAAGGCCTGGGCATTACTGTCCCTGAGCCTTTCTATACTCAAGGCTAGCACACTACCCTTTGAGCCACAGCACCACTTCCAGCTTTTTCTGTGTATGTGGTACTGAGGAACTGAACCCAAGGCTTCATGCATGCTAGGCCAGCACTCTACCACTAAGCCACATTCCCAGCTGAACCCAGCATACTTAAAGCTGTGTTGCTCCACACGTTTAAGATCGCTGTCCTCTGGATTCATCAAAATGCTCCCTTTGATTTTTGAAGAAAGGTTACTTAAATTTTTGCTGATACCTGAGTTTGAACTCTGGGACTTGAGCTTTTTGACTTGCTTTATTTAGGGTATGGGGGGTTGTGGGGCCTGAACTCTGGGCCTGGGTGCTTTCCTTTAGCTCTTCAGCTCAAGGCTAATGCTCTACCATTTGAGCCACAGCACCAATTCCGTTGTGCCGAGAATCGAACCCAGGGCCTCATGCATGCAAGGCAAGCGCTCTACCACTGTGCCACCTTCCCAGCTGCCCTTTGATTTTTGGAAGAGTGCCTTATGCCTAGGTCTAGATATTTTTGTGTTTATTGAGCTTCTTGAACCTTTGGTTTGTGGCCAGGAATTTTGAACTGCAATCCTTTATCTCAGCTTCCTGAGTAGCTAAGATTGCAAGTGTGGGCCACTGGCGCCTAGCTCTGTTTCTTTTAGTGGTATCAGGTCTTGAACTCAAGGCCTCATGCTTGCTAAGCCAAGTATTGTACCACTTGAGTCATGCACAAATGCACATTTTACTTCAACACAGGCTATATGAACAAATCCACGATCTCAGCCTCTTTCTCTTCAATGATCTGCTGCTTGTTTCAAGTCGGGCCACATCTCATATACCATTTGAGAGGACTCCAAAAACCACCTACCACTTCATTGCGGCAGTCACGCTTCATAGTTTATTTGTGGAAGATATTCCAGACTCCAAGTGTATGTATTGTTTTTTCCTTCAAGACTCAAATATCTCCACAAAGCTCATGAACTAGTAACTAGTAATATTTAAATGTAGGAAAAAGGTTAGAATTACAATTTTTGAGTTTGCAAATAATTAGCAAATTGTGATTTCATTAACTTTCATCTACTTCCGAGCAGCAAAATTAACAAGTGCCAGCATTAGTATGGTCAGATACATATCCTACACGTTAGGTCAACAGCTTTCAAATTGCAAAAACAGGCCTGCACTTGCATCTTCATGAATTCTCCGACACCTGACAGTTGGAGTCCTTTACCACCTCCTATGTTGTCTAACAGGTTAGGGGCCTGAAGCACTAGGGGGTGTGTGTGTGTGTGTGTGTGTGTGTGTGCACGCACACTAGTTCTGGGGCTAGAAATCAGGGGAGTCCTTTACCACCTCCTATGTTGTCTAACAGGTTAGGGGCCTGAAGCACTAGGGTGTGTGTGTGTGTGTGTGTGTGTGTGTGTGTGTGTGTGTGTGTGTGTGTGTGTGTGTGTGTGTGTGTGTGTGTGTGTGTGTGCACGCACACTAGTTCTGGGGCTAGAAATCAGGGCCTGGGTGCTGGCCCTGAGCTCCCCTCCTCCCCCTTTCAAGGCTAGTGCTCTATGACTTTAGCCACAGCTCCACTCCTGGTTTTAGTGGTTAATCAAAAGACTATCATGGACTTTACTGCCTGGGTTGTCTTTGAACTACCATCCTCAGATCTCAAGCTTCCAGAGTAGCTAGGATTACAGGAGTGAGCCACTGGTACTTGGCTGCACTATTTAGGTTTATCCATTGCTCTTCTATTCTGCTAGGAGTAAGTGGTTATTACAAATTTGATTGTGCCTTTTCCCCTTATATTAGAATTAAGTTTGGGATGAAGGAATCAATAGATTTATAAAGTATACTTTGTAACTTACACCATTTTATTTTTGAAGTAACTACAGAAATACCTATGTTCTGTCTCCCAAGCTTGCCTGTATTTGTTACGCTAAATCCAAGTGTGACAGCCTCTTTCTCATAGTTTTCACTGTGCATAATAATAGTACTTAGGTTAAAGTGGGAGCCAAGATCGCTGAAAAGGAACTGACCTAAATAAAATAGCTTGAGCCCTATTCTAAATCTGAGCTTGAGAAAAAAAATGAATCCAGCTGTGAGAATATGTATTTCCTCCAAGGGCAATTTTAAGTAAAAAGTCAACCACAATCATGAGGTAGGGTTATTGTGTGAAACACATTTCAGTTCTTTTCCCACTATGATAATCATTAATGCTCATAACATTCATGTCTAACTTGATAGTGCTGGCTTTGTCACTGTGTAGTTCATAGCATATATTAGTGACTGGGACTTAACATAAAGATGTTCTCTGATTCCAGTTCCGCTGGAACAGGGCTGGCAAGGTGGCTCAGTGGTAAAGTGTTTGCCTAACATGCATGAAGCTCTGGGTTCAATTCCTCAGTACCATATAAACAGAAAAAGGTGGAAGTGGCACTGTGGCTCCAGTGGTAGAGTGTTAGCCTTGAGCAGAAGCGGTGTAGGGACAGCGCCCAGGCCCTGAGTTCAAGCCCCACGATTGGCAAAAAGAAATAAAACAGCACATCATCTGGTCTTAAAGCAATTGCCAATTATAATATAGACTATATTGGAATATAGTACATTAGGTTATGACAAACTATCTCACTGTATTAGGTTATTCTAATTTTTAGACATCGTAGGAAGCAATGTTCTAAACCAGATTTGTACTTTTAAAAATTGTTTTTACGTTTCAAAAAGATGAGTTTTGAATTAAACCTTTTTTCTATCTTGAGTGTTGCCTGCAAAGATAGGTAATCATACTTATATGATTTTACAGATGTCAAGAATGCATTTGTTCTTCAAGGTCCAAAACATGAATGGATTTGTGCTACTGAGGCAGAAGTTGAGAAGTTCCTGTGGCTCTCAGCACTCCAGAACACCATCAGGAGGAGCATGAAGAACAGATCAAGGCGCCAGCCCTCCTGGCAAGACAGGAAGAAGGATGCTCACACGTGTTAGGCATGATGAGAGGAGGAACCCAGATGACTAGGAGGTTCCTTCCGACGGTAAACTTTATCCCCTGTGACAGTCCCATGGAACGGTTACAACAGCAAGCTGTCATCTGATGGATGCTATGAAGAGTTCAAAGGGAACAAGATGAAAAATGACAGAATGAAAAAATGTTCACAAATGATCATTCTAGAAAAATACTTTAATTTGCTGGTGATTAGCTACCATCTTAAAAGATTTTATGAAACAAGGCTGATGTTAAAATATTCCCAAGAAATATAAATGGAAGCTTTTTCAAACACTTGTCAAAAACATGCCTTTTATGAAAATATATTCCTCTTCAGAACATTAAACTCCTTAGATCGCCCCAGTAAGCTTTACAAATATTTTGGCAATAATAAATTAGAAGACCACTGGGAAAAAAATACAATCTTCAAACAATACAAAGAAGCAGAAATCTAGCAATGCTTGCTTGTAATGAAATAAAAATGAAGACAGTTATATTGATATTTATTATTGTTAAACCTGGGGGATGGATGCTATCCTTGAGCATTTGTGTTCAAGGCTTATGCTCTATGGCTTGAGCCACAGCTGCACTTCTAGCTTTTTGGAGATTTACTAGAGATGAAGAGTCTCATGGACTTTTTTCTGCCAGGGTTGGCTTCAAACCATGATCCTAAGATCTCAGCCACCGAGTAGCTAGGATTACAAGTTCTGAGCCCCCGGCACCCGGCTTAGACAATTATGTTTAAAATAAACAGTAGAACAGTAGTTAGCTGGGCTTTAAAGCCATTGTCTGTGTTTTTAACAAACTAGCTACAACTTGTTAGGCACCTGAAAACTTTTAGCTGATGTACACAGCAGTAACAGTTTTCCTCAGTGATAGATGAAGTACCATGTATTAATCTTGGAAGCTTTAGGCTGTAAATTGACATTTTCCTTCAATCCCCTAAAATAATAGAATCTAAGACTACAGTCTAGGATTGTGAACCATTGGTATATACCTTTGGATAATGAAATTATACATGCTTTCTTTGCTTACAAGTTAAATTCTGATTAAAAATATATGATAGTTAAAATACGGTACTATCTTCTTGGTATAAAAATCACATTTCTGATTGTCATGTCCCACAGACAGAATTCACTTTAAGGTATTACCTGCTAACAGTGATGAATGCAAGCTTACATATGTGGTTCCAATGTACCTATGACATAATAGAAAACAAATCCTCAGACAGCATACTATTCTAAACACAGCACACTTCAAAAAGTGTTAATAGGGGAATCTGCTTACATGGAAGACAATGAAAGTGACAACACAATGGAAGGTAAACTAGAAATCATAAGGAACTTCCACTGCTTTCTTCTATCAGTAACTGATAAACTTGAGAGTTTCATAACATCTTACTTGAAAATACTATGTAGAACCTTCTTACAGTGCTAAGCGCATTAATCACGCACAAACTAGTGATGTCTCAAGGTAGACAGAACTTATGTAAGCATTTCACTTTCCCTTCACCTGTGGGGATAATTACATATCCGTCTTCATTTTGTTCCTGTTTACATGACTGTTACTAAATTAAAACCTCACACACACAACATTCCTAAGTCACTGGTAACTTAAGTAATCAAATTCTGACAAGGAAAGTATACAACCTGACCCCAAGCTTATGTGCAAAGAAGTCTGGTAACTTCTAAAGAATACTGACTAACAGAGGGAGGAAACTTTTCTAGTAAATTAGCTTCTAGAGAATCTGTGTTATCTCTGCCAGTTCTTTACAGTAAATCTAGAGCATTGTAGGCAGGAAGAGCAGTTCAAGTGACAGAGTGCCAAGCAAGCCACAGGCCCTGCGTTCAACCCCCAGTACTGCCACAAACATAATACCTCATAAGGTTGTTTAAAAAATGTGGATGCTTTTTGTAAACTCTAAATGCAAGAAGATGATAGTTTGTTTTTTTTTTCTTTTGCAAAAATTTGAGTCTGTGTTTGAGACATAAATGAGAAACCCATTCTGAAATCCAATCACTGCATTTTGGTCATATAAGTACAACAAATAAAAACATGACACATTATTGTTGCAATGGAATAGAAATGATAGGGGTATGCCAACAAACACACCACACCTTCCAGAAAAGTCATCCTGACCCTTTTTATTGTTGAAATTAAAAAATAAAAGACACTTAAATACAATGGTGAACATATAGGGCAAAACAGAATCATAAAATTTAATGTTGAATTAAGCAGTGAGTTTCATGGCTGGGTCTCCAAGATGGCTTCGAGCCCCAAACCACTTAAAAATGGGGATGTTCACAGTTAACGGCAATTGCTTTATAAGTGAGAGAATGGTCGAAGTTGTTCCAGTTGAACTTCCAGGGAAATTCTCTCCTCAAGAACATCCTGAAAAAACATGCAAAGTTACATTGTAAAGTATATAAAAAGATTAACACATGTCTAATGAGCTCTGTGTTAAGAAAACAATTCATATTTGTCAAGAAGACTCAAAAGGACAGAGATTTCATATTATTTTTTTGGAGGGGGGATGCTGGTACAGGGTTCTAGGTTTTTGCTGGCTAGTTGGAAGTTAAAAGCCTCACAGATTTGTGAAGGCTAGATTCAAACCTCAATCATCAGATGTCAGTCTCCTTAGTAGCTAAGATTATAGACATGAGCCACAGGCAATTGGCTGTTAATAGCCTGGACCACCAGTGCTCAGCTAGAGATTCCTATTTTACAAGTATATGTCACTGTATAAAGTCAATTTCTTTGTACATTCATGGTATTAAAATAAGATCCTAGCAATTAAGTCAGGTAATAAAACACCAATTACCACAAAACCAGTGTTTGCAACAGATGAGCATCAATGCATGAATTCTGCATAAAGCTTGTCCCCTAACTTATTAGAAGAATTTGTTAACCTTGATTCTTTTGTCTAGTGATGACATCGGATTATAGCAATTTCTGAATCTCACTGTTCTAGTTCCAAAGAGAAAAACACTCATTTCTTCTCTTTTTTTTCCCTTTCTTTCGGTTGTGGGGCTTGAACTCAGGGCCTAGGTTTTGTCTCTGAGCTCTGTTGCTCCAGGCCAGGGCTCTACAACGTTGAGCCACAACACTACTTCTGGTTTTCTGGTGGTTAATTGGACTTTCCTGCCCCAGCTGGCTTTCAATCATGATCCTCAGATCTCAGCCTCCTGAGCAGCTAGGATTACAGATGTGAACTACTGGCACCCGTCAATTTTTTTTTTAAATAAAAATTAAAAATGTTATAGGAATAGTGATGCTTTATATATACATAGAATAAGGCAATCTGTAATAAAATTGAGTTAAAAATTCCTAAGATTCAATGGCTTGTACATTTTATTTTTTGGTACTGGTCCTTGGGCTTGAATTCAGGGCCTGGGTGCTATCCTTGAGCTTTATCTGCTCAAGGATCGTGCTCTACCACTTGAGCCACAGCTCCACTTCCAGCATGTTGGGTAGTTGACTGGCGAGAAGAGTCTCATGGACTTTCCTGCCTAAGCTGGCTTTGAACTGTGATCTTCAGATCTCAGACTCCTGAGTATCTAGGATTATTGCTGTGAGCCACTAGAGCCTAGCTCTGGTTTGAGTAAAGTTTCAATGTAAGCCTAGGAATTGTTGGATCACTTTTCACCTTTTCCTGAAAATCTAAGGAGCTCTGACTCCATGAAACTTCCCAAATAAAAGATTCAAAAACCCTATTACCTTTAATTGCTGCTGCAATTCACTATTCAATCTGGCCAAAACTGTGTTGGTTTCCTTATTGCGTCTAATTGATGCCTGGATAGCTTTTTTATCTTTCCCAACAGATCTGTGGAGATAAAGGAGACAAAAGTCATGATCTTCATTTCTTCAAAACAACCACCTTTCCCCCAAAGTTGCTTCCCCTCTCTCATTTTGGCAGCACAAAATTTGAATTCAGAGCCTCAAGCGTGTGTGGTCACTTGAGCCATGCCTCCAGCCTTAGAAAATCTCAGCACAATCTTCATATCTTTGCCCCTGAGGCAGCTGATGCTGCAGACAGATGCTAGCATGCCTAGTTTATTCTTTCAAATGGGGGTCTTGCTAAGTTTTCTTTTTGCTTAGGGGTGGCCCCAACCCTCCACTTTCCCAATCCGCCTCCTGAGAAGCTGAGGCTACTGGTATGTGCCACCATGCCTTGTCTTTTTTGATTTTGCTTCTTTCTTGTGATGCTAGGGGATCAAACTCAAGGTCTGCACATGCTGGCAAGAAGTCAACCACTGGGTTACAGCCCCAGCCCTTTCTGACTTATTTCTAAGCATGGAAGGGAGAGAATTACCTTTTTACTTCTTAGCACGGTTCAATCACGTTACCTGGGAATAGAAGGCTGTGATGCGAGAACAGCAGGCGAGACGCCCGTCTTTTGTGTATGCTCATCCACATCTGGCCTTAATTCATCTTCTGATTTTAATCTTCTCCGAACAGGTTTAGGTGGTGGAGCAAGAGGTGTTGTGCCTTTGCTCTAGAAGACAAGATACCATTAATAATGACCAGTTGTGAAGATACGCATGGTGGGTTAGAACTCTACAACACCATTTGCTTTCTTTAAGCTACTTGTTCTTAAAAAAAATTAAGTGTTGTTTACTTAAAATATTTTGTTAGCTGGGTGCTGGTGGCTCATGCCTATAATTCTAGCTACTCAGGAGGCTGAGAGCTGAGGATCACAGTTCAAAGCCAGCCCAGGCAGTAAACCCCCCCCCCCTTTTTTTTTGTCGGTTGTGGGACTTGAACTCTGGGCCTGAGCGCTGTCCCTCAGCTTTTCAGCTCAAGGCTAGAGCTCTACCACTTGAGCCACAGCACCACTTCTGGTTTTCTGGTTGTTTATTGGGGATAAGAGTCTCACAGACTTTCCTGCCCGGGCTGGCTTTGAACGGTGATCCTCAGATCTCAGCTTCCTGAGTAGCTAGGATTACAGGTGTGAGCCACGATGCCAGGCTTCTCACTGAGACTATCTCCAATAAACCACCAGAAAACTGTAAGTGGGGCTGTGGCTCAAGTGGTAGCGCGTGAGCCTTGAGCTGAAGAGCGCAGGGACAGCACCCAGGCTGTTCAAGCCCCGTGACCAACCA